CCTTTTCCGTCACTTGTTTCGGGATTACGGACAGTCACTTTTGCAGTCATCAGATAGACTCCTCTTTCTTCATGGCTACTGTTTGGCTCGTCAATTGCCACATAACTGACTGCTTGTATTTGGTTTCTGTTCCGTTGTCGTTCTTTTAAATCTATGTGGCTTACTTGAGTGGATGCTTGTCTGGGACGAACGAATTCTTCAGTTCTTCGATTCAGGGTTCTGTTTGGCCGTAATTTACTCGTTTGTTCTTGTGCGTATGAAGTATCGTTGTGTATATGTCGATCCACTAGCAAATTCTTGCTTCGTCTCATATCGTTTCGTAGAATTTGTTGATCTTTTCGAAAGCATTCCTTCGTTTGCTCCTGGTAAATCACTGGACTATCGATAAATGCTGGATTTATTTCACGTTTCTTTCGATAAACTTGATTTTTATTTGGTCTGTCTTCGTCATAATAAAAATTATCAACTGATAAGAATGGATCCGAATGGCGATTCTCTCTGCAGGAGTAACGCCACTTTCGATATGTGTTGTGTCTAATTTGATCTCCTGCTTTATGACATCGGAAGCATAATCTTAAACCATCGATACATTGCCTTCTAGGCATCACTTCAGCTTGTGTGCTACATTCATTAGCAATATGTGGATCTGCACATAAAGCAAATTCCTTCATAGCTGGACCGTTTCTATTGTTGAACGTTTGCTCGATTGCATTCATTTTCTTTTTGATCTGACCATTGCTCTGATATCGTCGTTCGATTTTCATGCGGTATTTTGCATCGCCTAAGACATCACTTACTTCTTCTTTGACTGCAATGTATTGTTTCAACGAGTTCTGCAACGTTGCCATCGTCCACGAGTCATTCACTGGCTTACTTTTGACTAATTCTTCCACTAATTCATAGGGCAGCTTTTCTTGAACAACGAATATCAGCGCAGTTTGATCGGGATTTTCGTCAATATTGCGCAATTGACGGCAAGTTTTCTCCAATGTATCTGCAAACTGCTTTATACTTTCCAAATCATGTGAGCATTTTGTTAGGTTTTGAATCCGACTATATAATATTCTTCGTACGGTTTGCATATTGCCGAAGCGATTCTTCAAGATCGTAACCGCTTCTTGATAGTTTTCGTTGGTAACTGGAATTCCTTCGAGCGCTGATTTTGCTTCGCCTTCCAGTAAACTTAATAAGTGAGTGAATTTGATGCTGTCTGGAATCGTTTGTTGATTGATCAGATTCTCGAACTGATCCCAGAACGACTGAAACGTCAGTGGATCACCACGAAACCTCGATAGATCGATTTTTGGCA